GGGGGGCAAAACGTGATGGATGTGTGACGTGGGGGGAAAGGGGGGGGGGTCTAGAACACCGATACGTCACATTTTTTGAGTTAAGAAAATACGTTTTTTAGCAGGTTCTATCGAGTCAATTTACCGTACAGCGACTAGTGAATGATCGAGGGAGGATGCCGAGGGGTGGAACTCCTGAATTGGGTGTGCAAATTTCAAGAATTGCATTTGAATTAGCTTGAATTGGCTTTAATTGAATTTGAATTGGGCTGAATTGGTTGAATTGTTTTTGAATTGGTTTGAATTATTGCGATTTTATTTTACTGAATGAGCGTGAATTGACTTGAATTGGCAAGAATTTGACTTGAATTGAATGTACATTGTCTTGAATTGGACTGAACTAGTTGAATTATTTTCGAATTCGTTTGAATTAAATTGAATTGGTCTGAATTACTTTGGTCAGAATTAGGGGTGTACACTTGGCAGGGGAGCTATCTACCCCTCGGAGGATGCACACGCGGGCGGCGGTAAGACACAGCGGGCAAGGCGTCTCCAAAAATCGAGAATACACGTTATGTACCTGATGGAAAATGATACCTTTGTAATTCAGCGATGTCACCTTAAACACCCATTTTATCACCTATATTAAGCCTTCGCGATTTATATAAAATTTTGTATGTTTTGCGATTTATGTCGAAAATGTGACGTCACAAGTGGGGGTTCAGATTTTGTGATGGTGCGTGACATGGGGGAGGGGGTGGGGGGTCAAAAAGTGGCCTAAATCGCGTGACGTAATATGTGGACAACCCCTAAGCGAAGCAGCGGAAACGGAACGGCCGAGCGGCTGCTGGCTGGATCCGTCTCAGCCCAGCCACGGACTGGCCCGGGTTGGCTAGGTTGGAAAACCCGACCGGGCCCCAGCCAAAGAAGGTATCTTTTGGGGCCCTTGAAGGCAAAAAGGTGTCTTTTGGGGCCCTTTGACTGCAAAAAGGGTATCTTTTGGGGCCCCTCGGAGCAGTTTCCCGACTGGGCCCCTCGACCCCCAGTCCGTGGCTGTCTCAGCCTGCGAACTGCGGATGCAACAGTAGACTCTGCGCCGCCCCGCCGCCTCTCCCTCTCCCCCGCGCATCAGCAGCAGAGATGCAGCCAGTGGTGAACTGGCCGGTTCCGTTTCCGCCGCCCCGCTTATTGCCCTTATTGGCCTTATTCGTAGCTCAGGTGGAGGGGGAGATCGGGCGACGAATCACAGTTCTCCTTGTTATTCGTGCTGTTCTTCTTTCCCATCTGTGGAATAGCTTATTAGTACTGCTCTGAAGGCCAGAGGTACCCACTTGCACCTGCATCTACGCGTTGTTCCTTAGGTCCCGTCTCCAGCCTCCCTGATCTGGGGCAGACGTCAACGGCACGTCGTTGCTGTTAATGCTGGCTCGGACGGCGCGGTCCTGCGCCCCCCCGTCGACCAGGTGCCCAGCTAGGACCCGCTGCGTGTTGGCCTGGACACGCGGTAAAAGACATAGTCAGAGCAGAGCTCATAATCGGGTACCCAAACGAACCCGATATGTTTTTGAGAGCATCTTGGGTCCATTTGGATTCCAGATGAAAAACTTTGTGTAGACGTAAACAAGTTTAAAGGGATAGGGTATTCCGCTGCAAGCCAACCGGAGCCGAAAGAAGAAAAGCATGACTGCTGCAACTGAACTGTTTCCCCCTGCGCGCTCATTGGCTGACCGGCACACCGACGCCATCGTTCAGGAGGAAACAGATCGGGCAGTAGTGCTTTTCGCTTAAAATGACCATTGTTTCAGGAGAAGGAAGGCATCTTTCTTTTGCAGCTTTCACTTTTTTTACTGAGGGGTACAAAGCTTTGGACTGAGAGCATTTTAACTTCGCTCCCAGACGCAGCGTTTGGTAGCCATTCCTAGAAAGATTTAATTCTATCATTAGCGATAAAGCCTCATCTTCGCTATAGGGCGAGACCTCCCCCTTCCCCGCTTGCTTTAGAATGTTCGAGATTTTGGATGCCCTCCGAGGGCTGGTGAGCATGATCTGTGTGACAAGCTTCGCAGCATCTTCCCTTTTCTCTTCTCGCGCATTCATAGCGGCTGCTAATGCAAGCTTTTCCGTGTAATTATTCGCTCGAAGTTCTTCCACATTTTGCCGCTGCGACCTTTCAGAAAGCTCTTTGAACGGCAAAGGGGGTCGCCCTCCTTCATTCGTGCACTGCAATAGAAAATTAGAAAATTTTCCTGAAATTTTGCGGAATATTCTCGAGGGGTTCTTCACCATAAATATAAGCGTACACCAATTGTTCAATTGTTGGTCCGATTTGTCTATGAGTATACTTTATAAAATAGGTTCTGGCCAGGTTTTTACGAATTGGCCCCACTGTGTGCCGCAGGCCCCCCGCCGGACGCCTCAAATATGCAAAGTGATTTACCGGTCACATTATTTATTTGATTATGCACTTCCACAAATCGCGAGACTGAAATGGTCGGGCCGAAGGCCCGACCATCGCCGCCGGCAGGCCAAGCAGGCCCGGCCCCTGACGAACGGAGTCGCCGGTGCAGCGAAGTGGAGCTGGCAACTCCATTTGGCGGAAGGGCGGGCCTGCTTGTTTCGATGTGAACTAGAACTCTGCTGTTTCCTGTGGGAAAAACAAATCTATTCTACATATACAACCACAGGGTAAATAAGAACGGCCGCCGTAGTGTTGCAATACAGGTTCTCAAGATTTTGATTGGCGATTGGATGAGGACTGGACTACGTATCATGAGAGAAAATTCAGGAAATAGTTATTCAAGGAAATGATCAAGAAACTTCGTAATTAGCTAATTTATTTATTCATTGTTGCAGTGCTGCAAAGAGAAAAAGAAAGGTATTAGAGTTCTCATTTGTAGTTAAATGCGACATCCCAGTCTCAGCAATCAATTAATCGTACATCAACTTGATCTTAAAGTGAAAATGAAAGTATTTGTATACTTTTACTTTTAAAATCTGATGATTAATAGGCTAATAAGTTAGCTTACAGTTAATTTGTTCAGATAAATTATTCTAGGATATGTTCAAAATTTACTGTTACATTTTTACTGTTATCTGGGGAATTATATGATTGATTCTTAAAGACTGGGCATTAACTATCCAACAGCTAATCATTCTTTACGTACCTTCTAGTATGGCCTGAGCCACGATCTCTATTTGATCTCGCACTTCTGGCCAGCTGTAGGCCGCAATGCTCCACAGAATTAGGACAACTGCCGCCACAACTTGTCTCCATAAGCTTGGTCTGCTTTGTTCTGGGATCCTAAGATAAAAGAGGTATGTCATTATCGGGGCAGACTGCTACTGAAATAGACCATTTCCACCGGAAGCAGAAGAACACAAGCAATCAAAAACTACCGGAAACAGTATTCAATTTTGACTATCCAAAGAGTGAGAAGAGATTGACGGAAAGAGCTCTTTAAAGTATATGTGTTTCTAGTTCTTTTTGATTCCTTTGATTTTTCTTCCTCTCTCGGTGGAATGGTCTATTAGGACCAGAAAACTTGGTCATAATACATCTGCTACACTTTGTTGTAGTACGAATAAGCTTTTGGAAATGAAAGAGAGGAGTGACAACGCAGATTCTGGTCTGCCATACCCGGTAGAAAAATCTTACAAACTGCTAACACAGTGTGTTGCTGCTTTGCACAGAAGATCTTTCTAACAAAGTGACCAGGAGCCATGGGCCACGAGCCATAATCCTCAGGCCGTCCTTCCTAAAACCGCCCAAATTCACGTAGTTTTTAACGCGAATATCAAAAGTAAATTAGCCAACTGCAAGTGCGAATGCGTAAGGACAAAAGGTCCCGCGGGGCAGAGCTGTGGGCATGGCATGGCACTGGCACATGGCTCACGGCCCCCGCTTATTGTGGGGGCACCTCCAGTATTATGCGTTATTTGCCTATTATATTTAAAAAAACACGTCATTTTTCTAAAACAGCAAATGTTTATGTGACATAATTGGCATTGTTCGATTCATTGGTTAACTCCATAAAGCCGCCGTTCAATCTTTGCCTGCTGTCACCATGGCTGTCACTATCAGTTCTTTAAAATTTTGAATGAAATAATGTAGTTTGACTTACTGTTGCCGCTGGCGCTGGCGCCGGGCGGGAATTTTATTGGATTTGTTCTTTCGGCCCATGTTTAATTTAAGTCTTTCTCTTTCTTATCTTTCTCTTCAAACCAAACTGAAAAAACCTCCCACCGTCACGCACAAAGAACACGCGTTAGCGAGGTGGGCGAGAGTGCGGTAGGTCAAGAGTTAGATAAGGATGAGGTAGCAGACTCCAGCATGGATCTCCTGGCACTAGGCCAGGGTTTATAGACCGGTGAGACCAGTCCCAATAAACACAGAAAAGTCACAAGCACGTCCTAAGGTCAAAATTTCGGGCAAAAACGCGTCTTTTTGGCGTCATTTTCACGTCAATGTTGGGTCAATGACCTTTTTGTGATGCTTTAGTGGGGGAAGGATCTTCGCCTCCTTCCTTTCAACATAGTTGTAGCAGGAGTGGCAATGCATAAATAGCTTACTATTGTCTCTTAAAGAATGAAAACTTTTATCAAATAGAACAAAAGTGGTTATACCAAGGTGCGAAATATTGCTTTTGGTAGGATGTCTTATGTTTTTATTTGCTGTTCCAGGGTTGTCACCTTGCGATGGCGACTGTTTTTGTTGACTGTTGACAGTTGACTGTCTCGTGTCGTCCGTCTATCAAGCCCGATATCGCCTGCTTGCCAAGCTCCCAGCCTGAAAGCTTCTGCCTTTTCTGTTGGTGGACTCTTTCCTTATCAGCTGCAAATACCTAGCTATATGTACGCCAGACCACGTCTCGCGTAACAGGCTTCGCGATATCTCACGAAACACTGTTACGCTGCGACGCGCCTGGTGCACATATAGCTAGGCCTGCGGCGCTGACACCCGAGACGGGGTAATAGGAGTGTATATACAATTTTTCGAAATGAAGTCTTTTTAACGATTTAATCGACCATTTGATCATTTTCACCTCATTTTTGTCAAGAAATGCCCCCTAGCGCCTAAACGGTACAAGATAGAGCCAAACGGACGAAATTTTCGATCATAGGGCTCTACTTTGACGGTTTACCCCTTAGAAAACCATAAAAAAATATTTGATAAAAATACATTTTGCGACCTGTAGTTTTTGATTTTTTTCAAAGCCAATTTTTGAGCTAAAATGCTTATCTTCGAACTCGATCTGTCTTTTTATGACACAAAACGACCCTGAAAATTTCAGGTCGCTAGCTCAATTTGTTCTCGAGTTATCGTGCGGACAGACAGACAAACAAACAAACAGACAGACAGACAGACAGACAAACAGAATCAAACTTTTCCGGTCAGTGGAGTAATGGGCTTCGCTAATCGCTCAGCCAAAAATGGCACGTTACTCCTGCTTTGAGAAATTTCTATTGGTGTAAGTAAATTTACGTTTAAATACCCTTGGTAACCCTTGGTGCAGCATTCTAACCTGACTTTCTTGTCCACAGGACGACTACCTTATCTGACACATTATATTTAATAGTAGGGCTGCAATGGTTTCTTCCTCTTCACTTCATCCCCTGGTAAGAAGTAGTGTACCTGAAATCTTTTAATGCCTTCCCTTTACTAGTCCCAGCGAAAAGTCTGCCTTTTCCTCTCCCCCTCTCGCCTACACTACTATGCTGTCCGTGCTTTGAAAAGGGGACGAATATATGTTTTGTAACCTGTGTCTTCTTTTTTTTTCGCAGGTTGTGTT